ACTGCCCAGCAGCCAGTAGGTCAGCTGGCTGCCTTTACCCTGTGTAAGAAACCCAATTTATTGAAAGAAGCCAAAGACAAACACTGGCTAGGTACAAACAGACACTGGCCAGACTTGGCCAGAAACAGACACTGGCCAGAATTGGCCAGACACAAACAGACATTGGCCAGACTTGGCCAGATACAAACAGACACTGGCCAGACTTGGCCAGATACAAACAGACACTGACCAGACTTGGCCAGACACAAAGTTTCACAGATACAAACAGACACTGGCCAGATTAAAAAGTTTCACAGACACAAACAGACACTGACCAGACACAAACAGACGCTGGTCAGACTTGGCCAGATACAAACAGACGCTGACCAGACTTGGCCAGACACAAAGTTTCACAGATACAAACAGACACTGGCCAGACACAAACAGACGCTGGTCAGACACATACAAACACTGGCCAGACGCATACACAAACACTGGCCAGACACACACACAAACACTGGCCAGATACATACAGACACAGGCCAGAAACAAACAGACACTGGCCAGGCACATATACAAACACTGACCAGACACAAACAGACACTAGCCAGACACTGAACAGACACCACTGGCCAGACACAAACACTGGCTAGACACATACACAACCACTGGACAGACACTGGCCATACACACACACAACTACTAGACAGACACATACAGACACTGGCCAGACACATACACAAACACTGGCCAGACACATATACAAACACTTGCCAGACACATACAGACACTGGCAAACACTGGCCAGACTGACCAGACACAATCAGACACTAGCCAACACTGAACAGACACCACACATACACAACCACTGGACAGACACTGGCCATACACATACACAAACACTGGCCAGACACATACACAACCACTGGACAGACACATACAAACACTGGCCAGACACATACACAAACACTTGCCAGACACATATACAAACACTGGCCAGACACATACACAAACACTGGCCAGACACATACACAAACACTGGCCAGACACATATACAAACACTGGCCAGACACATATACAGACACTGGCCAGACACATATACAAACACTGGCCAGACACATACAAAACACTGGCCATACTCATACAGACACTGGCCAGACACAAACACTGGCCAGACACAAACAAACACTGGCCAGACACAAACACTGGCCAGACAAATATACAAACACTGACCAGACACAAACACACTGGCCAGACACAAACAAACACTGGCCAGACACAAACACAAACACTGGCCAGACACAGACACTGGCCAGACACACAAAAACACTGGCCAGACACAAACACTGGCCAGACACAAACACAAACACTGGCCAGACACAAACACAAACACTGGCCAGACACAGACACTGGCCACAAACACAAACACTGGCCAGACACAAACAAACACTGGCCAGACACAAAAACTGGCCAGACACAAACAAACACTGGCCAGACACAGACACAAACACTGGCCAGACACAAACACTGGCCAAACACATACACAAACACTGGCCAGACACAGACACTGGCTAGACACATACACAAACACTGGCCAGACACATACACAAACACTGGCTAGACACATACACAAACACTGGCCAGACACAAACAAACACTGGCCAGACACAAACACTGGCTAGACATATACACAAACACTGGCCAGACACATACACAAACACTGGCCAGACACAAACACTGGCCAGACACATACACAAACACTGGACAGACACAGACACTAGCTAGACACATACACAAACACTGGCTAGACACATACACAAACACTGGTTAGACACATACACAAACACTGGCCAGACACATACACAAACACTGGCTAGACACATACACAAACACTGGCCAGACACACACAAACACTGGCCAGAAACAGACACAAACACTGGCCAGACACATACACAAACACTGGCCAGACACAGACACAAACACTGGACAGACACTGACCAGACACATACACAACCACTGGCTAGACACATACACAAACACTGGCTAGACACATACACAAACACTGGACAGACACTGGCCAGACACAGACACAAACACTGGCCAGACACATACACAAACACTGGACAGACACTGGCCAGACACATACACAACCATTGGCTAGACACATACACAACCACTGGCTAGACACATACACAAAAACTGGCTAGACACATACACAAACACTGGCCAGACACAAACAAACACTGGCCAGACACATACACAAACACTGGCCAGACACATACACAAACACTGGCTAGACACATACACAAACACTGGCCAGACACATACACAAACACTGGCTAGACACAGACACAAACACTGGCTAGACACATACACAAACACTGGCTAGACACATACACAAACACTGGCTAGACACAGACACAAACACTGGACAGACACTGGCCAGACACATACACAACCACTGGCTAGACACATACACAAACACTGGCTAGACACATACACAAACAACAGACACTGGCCAGACACAGACACAAACACTGGCCAGACACATACACAAACACAAACACTGGCCAGACACATACACAACCACTGGCTAGACACATACACAAACACTGGCTAGACACATACACAAACACTGGCTAGACACATACACAAACACTGGCCAGACACAAACAAACACTGGCCAGACACAAACACTGGCTAGACATATACACAAACACTGGCCAGACACATACACAAAAACTGGCCAGACACAAACACTGGCCAGACACATACACAAACACTGGACAGACACAGACACTGGCTAGACACATACACAAACACTGGTTAGACACATACACAAACACTGGCTAGACACATACACAAACACTGGTTAGACACATACACAAACACTGGCCAGACACATACACAAACACTGGCTAGACACATACACAAACACTTGCCAGACACACACAAACACTGGCCAGACACAGACACAAACACTGGCCAGACACATACACAAGCACTGGCCAGACACAGACACAAACACTGGACAGACACTGGCCAGACACATACACAACCACTGGCTAGACACATACACAAACACTGGCTAGACACATACACAAACACTGGACAGACACTGGCCAGACACATACACAAACACTGTCCTGACACATACACAAACACTGGACAGACACTGGCCAGACACATACACAACCATTGGCTAGACACATACACAACCACTGGCCAGACACATACACAACCACTGGCTAGACACATACACAACCATTGGCTAGACACATACACAACCACTGGCCAGACACAAACACTGGCTAGACACATACACAACCACTGGCTAGACACATACACAACCACTGGCTAGACACATACACAACCACTGGCTAGACACATACACAACCACTGGCTAGACACATACACAACCACTGGCTAGACACATACACAAACACTGGCTAGACACATACACTAACATTGGCCAGACACAGACACAAACACTGGCCAGACACAGACACAAAAACTGGCCAGACACAGACACAAACACTGGCCAGACACATACACAAACACTGGCCAGACACATACACAAACACTGGACAGACACTAGTCAGACACATACACAACCACTGGCCAGATTCTTTCGGTCAAAATGGAGTTTAGGCAGTGAAACTGTTCAAGCCGAGGCAAATTTTTTGCTTCTGCTGAACGGTGGCCTATGCATTTTTGCTCCATTTGTAGACTGGATATAGTTTTGTTGCCCAGCTTCTGAGTTGAATACATGGTGTGACACTGTGAGCTGCGGATTTCATTTGGAATGTTTTTTCGACTGTGACCAACGTGGTGGTGCCTGTGTGTGATTAAAATTGATCGCGTTGGCAACTGCTGATCTGTTGGCGACAAGTTCTGCTATCATCAATGATGAACTGCATTTCTAATGTTCGACTGTTTGTGTTAGCACTTTGGATGGCTACCGTAGGCTTTAATGCGAGTGTAAGCTAGATATGCTGAGACAGCAGTCTGTCAATCTTTCCACAAGGGACTGTGATAAACATTCTGTGTGTTTTTCGTTGGCACAGGAGCGGAACAAAGATGGAGTGACCCGTTTGCTATGAAGCTGAAACTAGGACTACCAGACTACCAGACTGGCCAGACACTGGCCAGGCACATACAGACACTGGCTATGGCAAAAATGTGGAGTTAAAAATTTGCCCCTGTCTTTCAGAATCCTCGCTGGTGCAACAGAGTTCATACACTGCGTTGAGAAAATTCAGACTCAGGCTTGAGTTAAAAAAGAACAGAGCACTTATGGGTTACACCCCTTATGTGCCATGATGTTTATCCGTTGAATAAACATATAATTTAAACATAAACAGACAAATAAGTGCCAGAAACATACATATTTGCAACTTGGTGTTTACATATTAACAGAAGTAGTCATTACAACAAACTGGCCAGTCACAAGGACAAATATTGCATAAAAGCCCAACACAAGCCAGCCAGCCACCATATTTTGAATACCCCAACACACAAACTGCTGTGAGCACAGAGGAAAGCAGTAATACATTAAATACAATGCTGATGGTATTGCACAAAGCCCTCAAGTCAGTAGCTTTCATGTGAAACTGTGGATCAAGGTCATGTCCAGAAATAGCACTAACAGAGCATGGGCAGAGGCATATCACACTTCAAGACTGTCATGGACTGCCTCCCTATCTGCCATATTGGACAGGAAGTTACCAGTAACTAGACTGCTGTGACAGCCAATCTCCTGCACCAGTGACTAAGCTATTCACACATCAAAGTTATAATCACTCTGTAGAATGCTGGATTACTTGTGAATGTTTGTATCACCAACTGCAGTGAACCGTTTGTGCATGTTTGTATCACTAACTACAGTGAACCGTTTGTGCATGTTTGTATCACTAACTACAGTGAACCGTTTGTGCATGTTTGTATCACTAACTACAGTGAACCGTTTGTGCATGTTTGTATCACTAACTACAGTGAACCGTTTGTGGCTGGCTACTCACTTTCATGTTGATGTATCCTCTCTCCTCCAAACGGAAGCCACCGACAGAATCCAGTAACTTCTTGGTTTGAGAGCTACAGTGAATTCTCAGAGCTGCAGGAATATTAAACACACCAATGATGAGACTGTCCTAATGAAGTGTAATTCTAAGATAAGACCAATGTATTCTCTTATCTAGTAAATTCACACTCATTCTCACTATCACACTCACACTCACACTCTCACTCACTCTCACTCTCACACTCACTCTCAGACTCAAATTCACACTCACTCTCTCTTTCCCACTCACACACACTTGCTCTCACACTCACTCACTTCACATTCACACACACTCTCACACAGACTCTAACACTCACACACACTCTCACAGACTCTAACACTCACACTCACACACACTCTCACACTCACACAGACTCTAACACTCACACACTCACTCACACTCACACAGACTCTAACACTCACACACACTCTCACAGACTCTCACACTCTCACTCACTCACACTCACACAGACTCTCACACTCTCACTCACTCACACTCACACAGACTCTCACACTCTCACTCACTCACACAGACTCTCACACTCTCACTCACTCACTCACACTCACACAGACTCTCACACTCTCACTCACTCACACAGACTATCACACTCTCACTCACTCACACTCACACAGACTCTCACACTCTCACTCACACTCACACAGACTCTCACACTCTCACTCACTCACACTCACAAACTCTCACACTCACTCACTCACTCAAACTAACACAGACTCTCACACTCTCACTCACTCACACTCACACAGACTCTCACTCACTCACACTCACACAGACTCTCACACTCTCACTCACTCACACTCACACAGACTCTCACACTCTCACTCACTCACACTCACACAGACTCTCACACTCTCACTCACTCACACAGACTCTCACACTCTCACTCACTCACTCACACAGACTCTCACACTCTCACTCACTCACACTCACACATACTCTCACACTCTCACTCACTCACACTCACACAGACTCTCACACTCTCACTCACACTCACACACCCTCACACAGACTCTCACACTCTCACACCACTCACACTCACACAGACTCTCACACTCTCACTCACTCACACTCACACAGACTCTCACACTCTCACTCTCACACACTCCCTCACCCACCCCAGACTCTCACACTCTCACTCACTCACACAGACTCACTCTCACTCACACTCACACAGACTCTCACACTCTCACTCACTCACACTCACACAGACTCTCACTCACTCACACTCACACAGACTATCACACTCTCACTCACTCACACAGACTCTCACACTCTTACTCACTCACACTAACACAGACTCTCACACTCTCACTCATTCACACTCACACACACACACTCACTCTCACACCCACCCTCACACTCACTTCACACTCACACACACTCACTCTCACACTCACTTCACATTCACGCACACACACTCACAATGACAGTCACACTTACACTCACTCTCACACTCTCACTCACACTTACTCTCAGACTAAAATTTACACTCACTTTCTCTTTCCCACTCACACACACTTGCTCTCACACTCACACTCAATTCACACTCACACACACTCTCACACTCACACACACTCTCACACTGACACTCACACTTAATTCACACTCACACTTACACACACTCTTACACTTACTCTCACACTTACTCTCACACTGACACTGACACTCATCCACATATTAGCCCTTAGATTAGACCCTTGTTTAAATAGTGATTAGAGATTAGAAAGGATTATCATGATAGCACTCCGGACAGATCCATAGGTGCTGTGATCTCCTCCTCAAAAGCTCCACAAGTGTAAAATGACTGATTACGCCTGTTCTGTGTTGGTTAATGAAACTTCTTGTCTCCTTAGTGAAATATTCATTTCTTGCAGCTTCAAGCTGCACCCCCATGTCCATCAGTCTAGACAGGGATAGGGAGTCATGTCGTTTGGCGTGCTCCTAGGTACCTGTTTAAAAGAAGACTGCAAGTGGGTCAAAGAGCTGCTCAGTGTAAAGTTTGTGTGTGTTTTTTTTTTAAATGTTGTTGTTGTTGTTGAGTATATGTACATTATCTGTAACCATATGAGAACACTATGGTTCAGAGTAGGAGTGTACCGAATAGTGATTTTCACTATTCGGCCAAATACGAATAGTGCCACCAACTATTTGGCCGAATACGAATATGTATAGTATATCATCATCATCAGGTGCTTTGCCGACTGGCGTGGGCGATTATGCCCGGCCACAATCTGTGATCTCTTGCAGCATGTATCCCACCTCTTTTCATTTGCTGCCTTTCGTTCGATGACACCACCTCCATGCCATCTGCAAAAAAGACTGTAGCACAGAATAATCATCTTCTTCTTTAGCACTTTGAGCCCTTGAGGTTTACTGCTGCAGATCTTCCATTCATCTCTCGGTTGTCTTCACCTCTATTCATCCCTCCTTCCTCAGATATCACTTCCTCCCATCTCTCTGGTGGTCACCACTCATCCACCTACTTTCAAAACCATCATTTGCTCAGCCTTTCGTTCGATGTAATTTAAACTAGGGCTGTACCTAATAGTGACTTTGTATACGAAATCAACTATTCCGCCGAATATGAATACAAATAGTGTATAGTGTATAAAATATATCTAAAAAAGAAACATTCACAATGTCAAATGTACGCTGAACTTTTCCTTCACATAAAGTAGTTTACACAGATATCACTCGTCTCCATTCATCTCTTGGCTTCTTGAGGTTTACTGCTGCAGATATCACTCGTCTCCATTCAGCCCTTGAGGTTTACTGCTGCAGATATCACTCGTCTCCATTCATCTCTCTGGCTGGCCTTGATGTTTACTGCTGCAGATATCACTCGTCTCCATTCATCTCTCTGGCTGGTCTTGAGGTTTACTGCTGCAGATATCACTCGTCTCCATTCATCTCTCTGGCTGGTCTTGAGGTTTACTGCTGCAGATATCACTCGTCTCCATTCATCTCTCTGGCTGGTCTTGGTTTACTGCTGCTTGAAGTTTACTGCTGCAGATATCACTCGTCTCCATTCATCTCTCTGCTGGTCTGGTTTCTTGAGATATCACTCGTCATCTCTCTACTGGCTGTTTACTGCTGCAGATATCACTCGTCTCCATTCATCTCTCTGGCTGGTCTTGAGGTTTACTGCTGCAGATATCACTCGTCTCCATTCATCTCTCTGGCTGGTCTTGAAGTTTACTGCTGCAGATATCACTCGTCTCCATTCATCTCTCTGGCTGGTCTTGAGGTTTACTGCTGCAGATATCACTCGTCTCCATTCATCTCTCTGACTGGCCTTGAGGTTTACTGCTGCAGATATCACTCGTCTCCATTCATCTCTCTGGCTGGTCTTGAGGTTTACTGCTGCAGATATCACTCGTCTCCATTCATCTCTCTGGCTGGTCTTGATGTTTACTGCTGCAGATATCACTCGTCTCCATTCATCTCTCTGGCTGGTCTTGAAGTTTACTGCTGCAGATATCACTCGTCTCCATTCATCTCTCTCTGGCTTGAGGTACTGCTGCAGATATCACTCGTCTCCATTCATCTCTCTGCTGGTCTTGAGGTTCACTGCTGCAGATATCACTCGTCTCCATTCATCTCTCTGGCTTCATGTTTACTGCTGCAGATATCACTCGTCTCCATTCATCTCTCTGGCTGGTCTTGAAGTTTACTGCTGCAGATATCACTCGTCTCCATTCATCTCTCTGACTGGTCTTGAGGTTTACTGCTGCAGATATCACTCGTCTCCATTCATCTCTCTGGCTGGTCTTGAGGTTTACTGCTGCAGATATCACTCGTCTCCATTCATCTCTCTGGCTGGTCTTGAAGTTTACTGCTGCAGATATCACTCGTCTCCATTCATCTCTCTGGCTGGTCTTGAAGTTTACTGCTGCAGATATCACTCGTCTCCATTCATCTCTCTGGCTGGTCTTGAGGTTTACTGCTGCAGATATCACTCGTCCTCCATTCATCTCTCTCTTGAGGTTTACTGCTGCAGATATCACTCGTCTCATCTCATTCATCTCCATTCTCTCTGGCTGGGCTGGTCTTCATCTCTTTACTGCTGCAGATATCACTCGTCTCCATTCATCTCTCTGGCTGGTCTTGAAGTTTACTGCTGCAGATATCACTCGTCTCCATTCATCTCTCTGGCTGGTCTTGATGTTTACTGCTGCAGATATCACTCGTCTCCATTCATCTCTCTGCTGGTCTTGATGTTTACTGCTGCAGATATCACTCGTCTCCATTCATCTCTCTGGCTGGTCTTGAGGTTTACTGCTGCAGATATCACTCGTCTCCATTCATCTCTCTGGCTACTGCTTGATCAGGTTTACATCCATTCATCTCTGCTGCAGATATCACTCGTCTCCACTCGTTCATCTCTCTGGCTGGTCTTGAGGTTTACTGCTGCAGATATCACTTGTCTCCATTCATCTCTCTGGCTGGTCTTGAGGTTTACTGCTGCAGATATCACTCGTCTCCATTCATCTCTCTGGCTGGTCTTGAGGTTTACTGCTGCAGATATCACTCGTCTCCATTCATCTCTCTGGCTGGCCTTGAGGTTTACTGCTGCAGATATCACTTGTCTCCATTCATCTCTCTGGCTGGTCTTGAGGTTTACTGTTGCAGATATCACTTGTCTCCATTCATCTCTCTGGCTGGCCTTGAGGTTTACTGCTGCAGATATCACTCATCTCCATTCATCTCTCTGGCTGGCCTTGAGGTTTACTGCTGCAGATATCACTTGTCTCCATTCATCTCTCTGGCTGGTCTTGAGGTTTACTGCTGCAGATATCACTTGTCTCCATTCATCTCTCTGGCTGGCCTTGAGGTTTACTGCTGCAGATATCACTTGTCTCCATTCATCTCTCTGGCTGACTTTGAGGTTTACTGCAGATATCACTCGTCTCCATTCATCTCTCTGACTGGCCTTGAGGTTTACTGCTGCAGATATCACTCGTCTCCATTCATCTCTCTGGCTGGCCTTGATGTTTACTGCTGCAGATATCACTCGTCTCCATTCATCTCTCTGACTGGTCTTGAGGTTTACTGCTGCAGATATCACTGGTCTCCATTCATCTCTCTGACTGGCCTTGAGGTTTACTGCTGCAGATATCACTCGTCTCCATTCATCTCTCTGGCTGGCCTTGAAGTTTACTGCTGCAGATATCACTCGTCTCCATTCATCTCTCTGGCTGGCCTTGAGGTTTACTGCTGCAGATATCACTCGTCTCCATTCATCTCTCTGTCTGGCGAGGTTTACTGCTGCAGATATCACTCGTCTCCATTCATCTCTCTGGCTAGCCTTGAGGTTTACTGCTGCAGATATCACTCGTCTCCATTCATCTCTCTGGCTGGCCTTATCTTCACAATTTGTGACACCAGTTGTTTGCAGGTCTGGCTGGGCATTATCTCTCAAACTTCTTTTATGTCTGCCTTGTGGTCTACGCCCATTCCTCTCTCAGGTGTATACAGTTTTTTCTTCTCTGTCATCTGAAATTCTTTCAATATGCCCCAACCATTTTGTCTGTTAGCTCTCATGATGCCAGTGATCAATGGTGATTCAAACATATTATGTGTTACGTTGTTGCTTCTCGCTCTCCATTTCCCGCTGTTAGCATCTTCCAAAGATTTATAGTAAGACTGTTTTCGAAAACCTGTAATGAGGCCTCATCTCTTTTATTTCTGCTTCAACTTTCACAGGCATATAAAACAAATGGTCTTATCAACGTTTTATATATTTTGATGTTGGTGTTGCGAGACAGACACTTTGACTTTAGCAGATGTTGAAGGGCATAGTATACTTTATTTCTAGATTGTATTCTATATAGTATTTCTTCTCTCAGCATGCTGGAGCAGTTGAAGTTTGCACCCCAGTACTTATATGTTTCCGTTCGTTTGATTTTCATATGATCAACTTGGGATGTGGCCAGAGTTTATATTCTGTCCATGTCTAGTTAGTATTCATACAGAATAGTATACATTTAAAACATTTTATGGCTGTGGTAACTAATACCTAGGAATTAAAGAATCCTAAGTATTATAACAAGTAACTAAACTTGTAAATTGTCACTGACAGCTTAGTTAATGCATGAAAGCTGCATTAGCTTTCAACAAAACCAATAGTTCCATGTTGTCAGCATTAAGACAATCTATGGAGAAGCGGGTGTAAGGTAACTACTATTCGTATTCGGCCTGACCGCAACTATTCGGCCCAATACCAAATAGTCAATAGGTCCACTATTCGGCCCCGAAGCGAATACGAAGCGAATATTCGGTACAGCCCTAGTTTAGAGTGCATGTGCCTTATCTATAACTGGATAAAAACAGTACGGTTTAAAGTATATAAGCCATATTTATAACCAGATGAAAACAGTATAGCTTAGATTACAAGTTCATTAGCTACAGCAAAATTAGAACAGTATGGTTTAAAGTACATTAGCCATATCTATAACCGGATGAGAATAGTATAGTTCAGATTACATGTTTAGTATCTATAGCAAGATAAGAACAGTATAGTTTAAAGTACATTAGCAAGAACAGTATGGTTTCGGGAACATGTACCATATATTTAACCAGATGAGAACAATATGGTTTAGAGTACATTTAATATATCTTTAACCAGATTAGAATAGTTTTGTTCAGAGTATATGTACTTTATCTATAACCATATGAGAAAAGCGTCTTCTAGAAATACCTATGACTACATCAAGACAGTATGGTTTAGAATACACTGACCTTGTCCATGAGTTTCTATCCTGGATGCAGTATTGATGGTGTCTCCGAACAGGGTGTACCTGGGCATAGTCAATCCAACCACCCCAGCCACACATGGACCTGTAGAGTAACCAGAACAAACACTTCAGATGGGTATTTCTACAGCCAACCAAACCCACCATGTATTGACAGACAACAACAACCACCACACATAAACAGACAACCACATCCACCACACATGGACAGACAACCACACCTGTGCAACTGCTGATCTGTTGGTGACTTCTGCTACCATCCATGATTAACTGCATTTCTAATGTCAGAATGTTTGTGTTAGCACTTGGACAGACAACCACATCCACCACAAATGAACAGACAACCACACCCACCACAAATGGACAGACAACCACACCCACCACAAATGGACAGACAACCACTTCCACCACACGTGGACAGACACCCACACCCACCACACGTGGACAGACAACCATAACCACCACATATGGACAACTAACCACAACCACCACATATGGACAGACAACCACAACCACCACACACTGATAGCCACACCAACCACATATGGACAACTAACCACACCCATAACAAATTGACAGACAACCACAAACACCACACATGGACAACCAACCAGAAACACCACATATGGACAACCAACCAGAAACACCACATATGGACAACCAACCACAAACACCACATATGGACAACCAATCACAAACACCACACATAGACAACCAATCAGAAACACCAGATATGGACAACCAACCACAAACACCACATATGGACAACCATCCAGAAACACCACATATGGACAACCATCCAGAAACACCACATTTGGACAACCATCCAGAAACACCACATATGGACAACCATCCAGAAACACCACATATGGACAACCATCCAGAAACACCACATATGGTCAACCATCCAGAAACACCACATATGGACAACCATCCAGAAACACCACATATGGACAACCAATCACAAACACCACATATGGACAACCAACCACACACACCACATATGGTCAACCATCCAGAAACACCACATATGGACAACCATCCAGAAACACCAGATTTGGACAACCAACCACAAACACCACATATAGACAACCAACCAGAAACACCACATTTGGACAACCATCCAGAAACACCACATATGGACAACCATCCAGAAACACCACATATGGTCAACCATCCAGAAACACCACATATGGACAACCATCCAGAAACACCACATATGGACAACCAATCATAAACACCACATATGGACAACCACCACAAACACCACATATGGACAACCATCCAGAAACACCACATATGGACAACCAACCACAAACACCACATATGGACAACCAACCAGAAACACCACATAAGGACAACCAATCAGAAACACCACATATGGACAACCATCCAGAAACACCACATATGGACAACCAATCAGAAACACCACATATGGACAACCATCCAGAAACACCACATATGGACAACCACTCAGAAACACCACATATGGACAACCATCCAGAAACACCACATATGGACAACCAATCAGAAACACCACATATGGACAACCATCCAAAAACACCACATATGGACAACCAATCAGAAACACCAAATATGGACAACCATCCAGAAACACCACATATGGACAACCATCCAGAAACACCACATATGGACAACCATCCAGAAACATCACATATGGACAACCATCCAGAAACACCACATATGGACAACCAGTCACAAACACCACATATGGACAACCAACCACAAACACCACATATGGACAACCATCCAGAAACACCACATATGGACAACCAACAACAAACACCACACATGAACAACCATCCAAAAACACCACATATGGACAACCATCCAGAAACACCACATATGGACAACCATCCTGAAACACCACATATGGACAACCAATCAGAAACACCACATATGGACAACCATCCAGAAACACCACATATGGACAACCAATCAGAAACACCACATATAGACAACCAATCAGAAACACCTAATATGGACAACCATTTAGAAACACAACATATGGACAACTAACCAGAAACACAACATATGGGCAACCAACCAGAAACACAACAAATGGACAACCAACCAGAAACACCACAGATGGACAACCAATCAGAAACACCTCGTATGGACACCCAATCAGAAACACCACATAAGGACAACCAACCAGGAACACAACATATGGACAACCAATCAGAAACACCACATACGGACAACCAATCAGAAACACCTCGTATGGACAACCACCCAGAAACACCACATATGGACAACAAATCAGAAACACCACATAAGGACAACCAACCAGAAACACCACATAAGGACAACAAACCAGAAACACCACATAAGGACAACCAATCAGAAATACCACATAAGGACAACCAACCAGAAACACCACATAAGGACAACCAATCAGAAACATCACATATGGACAACCATCCAGAAACACAACATATGGACAACCAGCCAGAAACACCACACATGGACAACCATCCAGAAACATAATATACGGACAACCAATCAGAAACACCACATATGGACACTCAACCACAAACACCACATATGGACAACCAATCAGAAACACCACATTTGGACAACCATCCAGAAACACCACATATGGACAACCAATCAGAAACATCACATATGGACAACCAATCAGAAACATCACATATGGACAAGCATCCAGAAACACCACACATGGACAACCAATCAGAAACACCACACATGGACAACCAGTCAGAAATACCTAATATGGACAACCAATCAGAAACACCACATATGGACAACCAACCAGAAAAACCACATATGGACAATCATCCTGAAACACCACATATGGACAACCCTCCAGAAACGCCACATATGGACAACCAATCACAAACACCACATATGGACAACCAACCAGAAACACAACATATGGACAACCAGCCAGAAACACATCATATGAACAACCAATCAGAAACACCACATTTGGACAACCATCCAGAAACACCACATATGGACAACCAATCAGAAACACCACATTTGGACAACCATCCAGAAACACCACATATGGACAACCATCCAGAAACACCACATATGGACAACCATCTAGAAACACCACATATGGACAACCAGCCAGAAACACCACACATGGACAACCAATCAGAAACACTACATATGGACACCCAATCAGAAACACCACACAGGGACAATCAATCAGAAACACCTCATATGGACAACCAATCAGAAACACAACATATGGACAACCAACCAGAAACACAACATATGGACAACCAGCCAGAAACACATCATATGGACAACCATCCAGAAACACAACATATGGACAACCAATCAGAAACACAACATATGGACAACCAACCAGAAACACAACATATGGACAACCAGCCAGAAACACATCATATGGACAACCAATCAGAAACACAACATATGGACAACCAATCAGAAACACCACATATAGACAACCAATCAGAAACACCACATATGGACAACTAATCAGAAACACCACATATGGACAACCAATCAGAAACACCACATATGGACAACCATCTAGAAACACCACATATGGACAACCAACCAGAAACGCCACATATGGACAACCAATCACAAACACCATATATGGACAACCATCCAGAAACACCACATATGGACAAATAGCCAGAAACACCACATATGGACAACCATCCAGAAACACCACATAAGGACAACCATCCAGAAACACCACATAAGGACAACCAACCAGAAACACCACATAAGGACAACCATCCAGAAACACCACATGAGGACAACCATCCAGAAACACCACATAAGGACAACCAACCACAAACACCACATAAGGACAACCAACCAGAAACACCACATAAGGACAACCATCCAGAAACACCTCATATGGACAGAAAATGACAACCACTGCAGATGAACAGACAACCACACCCATCACAAATGGTCAGACAACACAAAGACAGACAACCACGCCCACCATACATAGACAGACAACCACACCAACCCCACATAAGACAACCACACCAACCACACACAGACAGACAACCACACCCACCACAGATGGACAGACAACCACAACCACCACATATGAACAGACCACCCCCCCCCCCCCCACACACACACACATGGACTACCACACCCTAGCTATCAAATAGCATCTCACATAGCAATAAAATGAAATAATTATTATTTAAAAAAAGCCGTTAAATAAGTTATCTTATATAGCAAAAGACATGACACTGTTATTAATTAACACATTGAAATATAGATTATCTAGATAGATACGACAGGGAACAGGTTACCAAAAATACTGTACATAAACTAACCAGAGTGAATTCCAATCCTTAGTTTGAGCACTTCATGTGGCCGGTGTCTGATCTTGAATGATTTGATCACTTCTACAAGGGTTAAAGCCATGGAGGCTATCTCTGTGACGTGAGCACTGCCATTTCTGATAGGGAGGCCACTGGCCACCATATAGGCGTCCCCGATGGTCTCCACTTTGTAGACGTCAAAGTGTTGGATGATGGAATCAAAGCAGGTGTACAGATCGTTCAACATGTTGACAATCTGCAAATGTCCATCAATGATGACAACTGGTCACACACAACAATAGCATGGAATTGAAACCTTCTGTTTGAAATTGTAAAAAAAAATCTGCTTGAAAAAAGTCATGAATTAAATGGAAATCATGAAATGAAAATGGACATCTAAATGAAATATCTGATAGACTGCGACGCCTAGCGGCACAAGCAGATTTTGACAAAAGAAGAAGAAGAATTAAATGGAAATCATGAACTAAATTAAAATCATGAATTAAATTAATAGAAATCATGAACTATACAGAAATTCACAATTAAGTGGTATGCAAGAACTCAACTCAACCAGGAAAATCAATGCAAACCAATAATAACACACACAAATTACATGGCAGCTTGAAAGCCAATGATAGTGTCGAGTCAAGATCTACATTGAAAGAAATGATAGTGTCCAAGTCAAGATCTACATGGAAGGTAATGATAGTGTCAAAGTAAAGATCTAGATGGAAGGTAATGATAGTGTCTGTCAAGATCTACATGGAAGGTAATCAGGGTGTCGAAGTCAAGATCTACATGGAAGGTAATCAGGGTGTCGAAGTCAAGATCTAGATGGAAGGTAATGATAGTGTCAAAGTCAAGATCTACATGGAAGATAATTATAGTGTTAAAGTCAAGATCTAGATGGAAGGTAATGACAGTGTCAAAGTCAAGATCTACATGGAAGGTAATGATAGTGTCAAAGTCAAGATCTACATGGAAGATAATGATAGTGTTAAAGTCAAGATCTAGATGGAAGGTAATGACAGTGTCAAAGTCAAGATCTACATGGAAGGTAATGATAGTGTCAAAGTCAAGATCTACATGGAAGATAATGATAGTGTCAAAGTCAAGATCTACATGGAAGGTAATGATAATGTCAAAGTCAAGATCTACATGGAAGGTAATGATAGTGTCAAAGTCAAGATCTACATGGAAGGTAATGATAGTGTCAAAGTCAAGATCTAGATGGAAGGTAATGATAGTGTCAAAGTCAAGATCTAGATGGAAGATAATGATAGTGTCAAAGTCAAGATCGAGATGGAAGGTAATCGGGGTGTCGAAGTAAAAATCTACATGGAAGGTAATCGGGGTGTCGAAGTCAAGATCTACATGAAAGGTAATCAGAGTGTCGAAGTCAAGATCTACATAGAAGGTAATCAGGGTGTCCAAGTCAAGATCTACATGGACGGTAATCAGGGTGTCGAAGTCAAGATCTACATGGAAGGTAATTAGGGTGTCGAATTCAAGATCTACATGAAAGGTAATCAGGGTGTCGAGGTCAAGATCTACATGGATGGAAATCACAGTGTCGATGTCAAGATCTACATGAAAGGTAATCAGAGTGTTGAAATCAAGATCTACATGGAATGTAATTAGGGTGTGGAAGTCAAGATCTACATTTAAGGAAATCAGGGTGTCGAAGTCAAGATCTACATGGATGCGTAAATCACAGTGTCGATGCAAGAAACTACATGAAAGGAATCAGGGTTGAAATCAAGATTCACATGGAATGTAATTAGGGGTGGA